AAAAAAAGATATAGTGAAGTGAAGCATGGAACATTTGAATCAGCCATTGTCATCCTGATTGAGCCTGAGCTAATTGAAATGTAAGGGCTGCTTATCAGGACGTGGCAAGAGCCTGTAGAGAAATCCACAAAGCAAGTGATGCATGGCAAGTGCTGGGCTTTTTAAGACCGTTTCCTTTCTCTCTCTCTCATAGGTTGCTTTAGAGTAAAATATACAGGGAGCATGGAGTTAACACTGGCATCTTGGGAAGTAGCATGCAGCTGGTGCTCTCTAGGCAGGTGTATTCCAGGAGGATCCAGCGTAAGATTTCTCTGGTGGGCCCCAGTATCTTCTCTTTCCTTGCACACTCCCTGAATCGTTCCAAGTCCTTGTCTCTCTCTGGAGCAGAGCCTATGCCAAACTGTGCCTGTGGTTTTTGCAGTGAGGCCAAAGCTTCACTTGAAAAATGAGGACAGGACTCAGCAAACTTCATCCTGCCAATGATCTCAACACTGGTTGCTCTCAGAGTTGGCCCGGCCAGCGAGGTTCAGGGTTTGATAGCTCAGAACTAGAAGCCGGGGGTGACAAACCGGGTTCTGGAATCCTTTTCTGCTGCACCTCTGCGGTTTCTGAGTCAGTTTGTTCAGTACTGTTCTGTCTCTTTCTACGGCCACCCCCTCTCCTTCAAGAGCTGTTCTTCCTCGTCAGGCCTGTGGTTCCTGGCGACTGGGAAGATGAAGAATTTCTGGGTAGCATTTTGCTGTGCTGGCCCTAACCAGCTCTGCGAGGTTGAGATTCTCTTTGTGCCAAGTTCCAGCTCGGAGGGAATTTTTATGGCCAAGTTATAAACCCCTGAAAATAGGGGTTAGTAATGGAAATGCTGACGCCACCCAAACTCCTAACAGCACGAGTTGTCTTGCTGGAAGGCAGCCGAGAGGTTTCTTGTAGCACTACGTGGGTTCCAGGGAGGTGGCTGAATAAAGTGTCCACCTGGCTATCGGGGTCAGACTTGCCAGTCAGACAGAAATGCATTATGTGCTTAGTTCTTGTTGCTGCCTACCCTCACCACAGCTCCTTCTGTTTGTTTGCAGGTGGCTGGAAATGCTGATTGTCTATCCAAGGACAAACAAGCAGAATCAGAAGAAGAAGAGGAAGGTAGAGCCCCCAACTCCTCAGGTAACCCCAAGTGGTGATCCCCAGTAATTCACTGCGACCCAGAGGCCTCTTCGGGGACTGGAGCCCACTAGGACTCAGTCAAAGAGAGGGGATGATCTGTCTCACCGCACTGGGTGCTGTCTGCAAAGCAGTTTCAGGAAGATCCGCCTTGTTAGCGAAGTTGACGCGAAAACAGGGCTCGTGGCTGGAGTGCAGCTCTGCAGCATGCAGGGGGTTAACGTGGTGATGTCAGGGTAACTAGGATGGTGTGAATTAATTTCCAGATGTCACTTCCCAAGGTCATGTTCTGCTTCTCCGCCTGCTTTGAAGATGAATGGTCTTTATTAGCACTCATTAGCGTCACCCTAAATTTCTGGTAGCAGTCAGTGCTGCAGCAGCTGCATTTAAAACCCCTGGCTGTCCCCTACCCAGCTGGTATGGGAGATCTGGCTGAGGTCCTTTCTGTGGAGGGCAAGCTTCATGTGTCCCCAACCCCCCTATACCTTCAGGTGTGGTCCCTCCTGTACAAGCTGTGCATGCTGCTGGGGTTGGGCATGGTGGGTTTGTGCATCTAGGAGGGGTTTTACAGCTAAGAACAAAGTTGGATTTAGGTGTGTAACAGCGTGCATGTGTGTGTGTGTGTACTGGGAAGCTTGCCTCTTCCTCAGCTGCCGTCTCCCATCCCCAGTACAAATGGCATCGGATCCAGAACACATGCTCAACAGCTGATTTGTAAAGCCTCAGACAGTTTCCTCCTGGGCCTGGGGGCGTGTGGGCATGGCGTGGAGGGAGGCTGGGAAGATGAGGAAGAGATCCCAGCCGTTCACAGGCCTCTCAGGCAGAAACAGCTCAGGAAGGAATTCCTCAGGGCTCCAGTTACCCTGAATGAGATGACCCCCGAGATAATGAGAATTAAAGGAAAATAATAAAGGCCTGGGCTGAGCTGGGAGCTTTGGGGGCTGGAGCTGAACTCTCCAGGGACCCAGCGATGGCTTTGCGCTCGCTTTGACTATAAATGGTAAAAGCTGGGGCCGGCTGTGACTCACTCCTTCCTGCCAGTCTCCAACGTGGACGGAGTGGGGGAGAATCCCACAGATCTGGAATCTGACCCCATGGCTGGGCTAATCTCTGCCTGGGTCTGAGAATGGCCTTGTCCCTGGCTTGCCTTGACCTGTGCAAGTATGTCCTGCCACTGGCCTGGCTGAGTGGGACCGGCTGTGGGAGCTCACCCAGCAGATCCGCATGCCTACCCAGGGGCTTCTGAGAGCTGGCCAGGGGATAGGTTGGAAAATAGGCCAAGACCTTTTCCCCTTTCTGGGGTAGGGTTGTCCTTCAGGTCCTCCTATATAAAGGCTGTAGGATGTCCAAATGGAGAGGGCCAGGGCAGGCTCTGTGTAGTGGGAAAGAGCAAAGCTTTTGGCTCCCACCGTGAGGTGTACAGGGTGGGAGAAAAGTTGGGGAAGAAGCTTGCTCTTTTCCTTATATTAACTCTGGCCTGGACTCCCCCTCAGCCTCCATCCCCCTAGAGTAGTGGTTTTCAACCTTTTTTGGACGCAAGGCACCCCTCATCGGACTCACTGCACCCCTCCATAACATCTGTGAATTGAATGGCACCCCATTTAAAAATGAATGTACATATTACAATATTTACCTATCGCCCCCGGGGCTGGGCTATAGAGCTGGGGGTCGTCTAGGCAGGAACAAGACTGAGCCTGGCTTATCTGCTTATCTCCTTATGTCTTAGGGTACCCTTCAAAGGATCTGGCAGCACCTGAGGGTGCTCTGACACCCTGGTTGAGAATTGCTGCCCAAGGTGCTCTCACTCATGACGCTAGGTCTTCATGGCTCCCCCTTAGAGCGTGGAGACAGCTTGGATTTGGCCAAGGGAAGACCCTTGAGAAAATGTGTCCCTTGGCACCGTGGCTTGGCATTGCTGTGACACCTGCGCCACTCTTGGAGCTTTTTGCTCCATCACAGGGGCCAGCTGAGTTCAGAACCCCCCTTGCCATGACCCCAGCTCCTCTGTGCAGGGACTTGGTGTGTCAGAGCAGGAGCTGCAGCCTGGGAGCTCCCCGCACACGTGCACAGGGAGGAGTGGAAACGTTACACGGCGATAAACACAGCCCCTGATGCTTTGAGGGGGGAAGGGGAGAATGCAGCCAGAAAAACATCGTTTTGGGTTACGTTTCATTACCATGGCAACCTCTTGGAAACCTTACAGGATCCGAGCTCCTGAGCTCCAAATAAGGTAAGCGGCTGTGAGGAGACTGCACGCTGCCCGGTGGAGGCAGCGCGGTGGCACCCGCTCCTGGAGCGCCGTGCCAGGCTGCCCAGGTGTCACAGAGGACAGGCTGGGTGCCAAGCAGGGAGTGCCCCTTCCCCACTGTGTGGTCCAAGGTGCAAACTCAGGCCTTCCAAGGGGGTAAAAGAGAGAGGCTGATGCTACCCTTGTCTTTGGCTGTGTGGCAGAGAGCGGGCAGCAGGGTCAGGGTGCAGCGTTGGGCTGTGCTCCCTGATGGGGCTAGGTCTGTGCTTTGGAAGATGCTGTGGCTGGCTCTGTGCTTTGTCGAGAGCTTGTGGCAGACACGCACGTGTTTTCTATTTGTGTCCCAGCCTCTGCTCCCTGGCTGCTCTCCGATCCTCCTCCCCAGCTCCCTCACCCCTGGAAACTCATGGCTTTCACCATTGCTCTTTGCTCGCTGGTCTCTTCCTCTTGGCCCTGGTTTTGCAGCCAGTGCTGTGTCATGTCTTCCTGTCTTTCCAGCACCTCTGATCCCATCCATCCACTCCTCAGGGATCTCTGTGACCCGAGAGCAACCTTCTGGTCTTGCTGTTATCCTCAGCCCCTTCTCCTTTGGGGCTCCTCCTCCCTTCCCCCACCTCTGTTACTACTCTCAGCCCCTGCCTCCCTCCCTTGAGGGAGGCAAGACTGGGCTGAGGTATTTCTGACCACTGCTGTGCTGCTGCCTAGCGTGATACAGGGTTTGTACCTGAAAGCTTGCAAAGAAGAATTTTTCCAGCTATTTTAGTTGGTCTAATAAAAGATAACAGATTTATCTAAAGAACCTCATCTGCATATGGTAATGCCTACTTCCATCCAGCCAGGGTGTCTGGGGGTCAGTTCCCTGCCACAGCCTTTCTGGGTGATCCTGGGCAAGTTACCTGCATGATGGATAAACTCATCAACGGGGCCACTTCAGTGAGTTAGATTGAGCCTGTTTGGCAGAGCTGGTCATACAGCAGTGTCCTCTGTTTGCTCGTGTGCTGGGGTGAAGGGGTCACATGCGTAGGGTGAGGCAAGCGCTGGTTCCACCCCGTCTCTTAGAAACTGCTGAGCTGGAGCCGTGGCACCTCCTTTGCCCATTGAACCAAGTTGTTCAGTAGTAGAACGCGGATGCCAGGGCCCAGATTCTTTCCTTTTTTTTTCTCCTTAAAGCAATGCTGGCCGGCAGTGGGACAGCCAGGCCTTTCAGAGCGGCTAGGCCCTGTATGTGGCCCTGTCTCGCTGTTGCTGTTTTCCGCCCCACCAGCCTTGCTACAATCACCAGGGAAAATGCTGGTGTACTGCCAAAAGATAAAAGGGCCGGCTAGGTGGAAGGAGGGTGGTGGCTTGTTTTTTAGCCTCCAAGAGAGTTTTAGGAGTGGAAAGGATGGGGGGAGAAAAGCTGCGCAGTAGAGAAATTCAGACAGCAGTGGAGGCCTGCCTGGAGTGACTTGGTGGCTCTGGCTTAGGTGGGACAGAGGGGCTGAGCGTGCCCCATGGAGCAGTTGATCCAGGGGAGGGCAGTGTGTTTGACTGGAACCGTATAATGGTAGATTGGGGCATGTGGGTGGCATAGGAGCCAGAGCATGGAGGGGCCTGCCTGAGAGATGAGGCACCTAGGAACAGGGTTTGGGGGAGGGAAAGGGAGAGGTGGGGTGCCCTTTTTGAATTAAGCTTCCTTGGTCCTAATGGTCCATCAGACGATGATGCTCCGAGAGGCTGTGCGTTCTCCCGCAGGAATATAGGGAACGCGTGAATTGGCAGATTGGGTTAGACCTCAGGTCTTTGTAGCCCGCTGGCCTCACCAGATGTTTCTGGGGGCCGGTGTAAAAGCCCCAGGCTGCAGGAGGAGAGCAGTAATGTGTACCCATGAGCTGACCCTGCACGCAACCTCTCTGACTCTTATTCCATGAAAACGCAGCACAGGCCCAAATTTCAGCCAGGTATCACCTCTGAGATTATTGTTATTTTTAAGCAATGTAGGTGTGCCTCCTGGCAAGCTGCCTTCATTGCCTCTGTGCTGGGCCCCACCAGCCCTGGAAGTGTGGGGTCCCCATAAAATGTGCCTGCCCTGTAAAACACACGGAGCCATTTGCTCTACACTGGATCACTAGGCCATCCAAGAGAAAGCTCAAAGGCAGGAAGCGGAGCACTTTCACTCCCCACCCCCCTCTGCACAATCAGGAGCTGGCCAGGAGGGCAGGAAACTCCACGCATATCTGTCTGTGCAGAGATTTCATTCCCTGCAGAAAGGCTCTGGCATGATAGCGCTAGACATGAGCACAGGCCTTTTATCTTTACCGTCACACTCTCCCCATTGCCTCTTCCTGCTTCCCCCGTCACCTGCCCGACTGGTGTCAAGGGAGCCGAAACTACAAAAGAGCTGCAGCTTCCCATCCTTCCTGTCTCTCTTCCCCTGCCCCAGTGTCGGCTAGAAATGAACTGATCCCAACCTCATGCTCCGGCCATGCAGCACCAGAGTGGTCAGTGGCTCTGGACACCGTGCCAGAAGACTGTCACCACAGACTCGATGCAGCTCATCAAAGGAGGGAGGGGACTAAGCGTAACCAGAAGAAGAATTTTCAAAAAGGGAAGGGAAAGAAAACTCTTTGAAATAGCTTCTGTTGCACTTGGCTGCTTTTCAGGCCTCTCTTCTGTAAGGAAAAGAGCCTTTAAAAGTAAAATATGCCCTTAATCCGACATGGTGTCATTTGTGAAGGAGCTCAGGGAGGGTCGGACAGCTGCAGGCACTTGCGTGTTATCTGTACACATTTCTAGATGGCTTCTTTTCTGCTTCTCCCCAGAAGAGTTTGGGACCCTGGGTCAAGCCATGGGGCTGGGGAGCTGCGCACTAGCCTTCCCATATTGCCCTCCCATTCCCCGGCTAGTGCTGGGACTAGACTGTGCAGCAGGAAGTTCCTACACTAGTGGTGTAGATCCCTGCTGGGAAATTCTGTGGTTTCCTTTTTTAATTTCTCATCAATTCATCTTTATTCTTAAAAATGTTACATCATTTCTCTGTCCCTGTCACCTCAGAAAAAAATCATTATAGCAGGGGTCACTGAAGGGCACTGTTTCAGTGTTTTTTCTCAGCTTGTGAACAAATTTTTAGCTTAGGGAAGAAGTGGGCAGTTTTTTAATGAGTCTTTTTGGCGGGGCTTGTTTTTTGGCCTTGATCTCCCACTGGAGTCAGCTGCACAGCGTTTCTCTGTAGAAACTGGGACAGTAATATTTAGCCAAGATCCTTGAAAGAAGGGATTGGCCTCCATGTTGTTTGTTACCACCTCTGTTCCAGGACTGGTGTATACGTGTGCAGCTTGGACATAGACTACACCTAGACACCACATTGCTGATTTTGGCTCCAGCAGAAAACTAACCCTGTGGCATCCTGACATCTGCTCCCACTTGGTAGAGGCGACTAATATTTGAATGACAAAAGAGAGGGAAAGGAGCCATTTGGACTGTCTTGCTTACACAGTACTGCTTGGCACACTTCCTTGCCTTCTGTGTGTATTTTTACATACACAAGTATGTAGATAGTCTAGATTTTCAAAGAGGACACGTAACTTTGGGTTTCCATTTGGGGACATCTTAAAAAAACCCCGATCTTCAGGAAATCTTGAGCACTCACTTTCCCAGTGCTGTTCCTCTTCAGAGTGTTTCATGGTAGATGTCCAAATCTGGAGGGTGTTGCTGGTCAGCTCTTGAGAGTGTAAGGGGGTGCAGGGGTGTGTTTGGGGGTGGGGGGTCACCAGATGCTCTGACTTTGAGACTGTTAGAGTATCTAAGGGCTTGATCCTCCACATACTTCTGGGACTAGTTCTTAAAACCCTGAAGTGTCCCATGAACTCCAGTGGGTTCGGTCCCAGCAGTGTGTGTGTGCCTGTTGGGAAGCATGTTTACATGATGCTTGCCATAGTCATTCAAATTTGCCTTGCTTTCTCTGCAGCGTGTTGAACAGTGGAGAGGCTGGGAGGGGTTCACAGTTTGCAGAGAATATTTCATATCGGCTGTGTTTGCCTGCGGTCGGCTTTGTCATTCATTGCTCGGTTGTTCTCTGTACTCGGTGGCTTTCAGGGAAATTCTGTTAATGCAGAAACTCGACACGAGAAGAAAAAATTGTAGTTGATGGAGCACAGCTTTTTACCAGTTGTGATGGTTTCAGTCCCTTTGCACATACAAATCTGCTAACCCATACTTCCTTTGTCCCAAATGAAGTCAACAGGCTCAGCTTCCTCTAGGAAGGATCACGTGTAAAATAGCAGTTCTGACTGCCTTGCAACAGCAGTCAATTAAAGATGCATTCAAAATAACTGTTTTTTCTTTAAAATATTTATAGCTCAGTAAATGTGTCCTTCGAAAGTCAAGGTCCTCTTGCATAGTAAGGCTGTCTGGTGCATTGTTGTTGTTTCTATAGGGCTTGGAAAGCAGTTCAATCAAAGAACTGATGCTCCTGTTGAAATACAGGGGAATGAATTTTCTCTCTCATGCAGTGTTTTCTAGCTTTATTTTTTTCAGCTTGTCCTCAAAATGTTCAGAGTGAAGAGACTGTGTTTATCCACTAGCAGGTGAAAGCAAGAGAGAGGCCTGAGGCCATGCAGGGCTGTTAAAGGCAGCAGCGATGTGAAAGCGAGGCTGTCGGAGGTGGCAGTCCTGCAATAAGAGTGTGCACGTGGACGGGGAAGGTTGGTATGTTAGGTTCATGGCGTATCCCCTGCCAGGAGTGCACTGGAGAGGCAGCACCGTTGGCTTCAAACCTGAGGGGTGTGAGGGTGAGGGCAGACTCCTGTTACAGCGGTGTTAGATCTGCACTGTCCAATGTTGGCCAGAGATGGGAAGCTGAGGAAAGGATTGTGGGCGATGAGAGAGAGAGGAGCAGAAATCTTCAAAGGCAAAAAAGAAAGAGAATTTTTGGATCCCTCCTGTAAATGGAGGGAGACCATGTGGGTCTAGGACGTCCTGCAGATACCTGCTCGTCTCCAGCTGGGACTCCTGCTGATTGAGCTGTTGATGGCCTGTGTGTGCTGAAGGCAGTGGCTAACCTCACCCGTAGCAATGGTGCTTGCATGGGGCAGTGGGAAGGGTGGGTGCCCAGCTCGGCCTCTCCCCAAGTGCTGCCAGCTTTGTCTTTGTCCAAGTTGGGGAGCCTTGTAGCAGGAGCCAGTGGGGGTGGGCTAGGTTTGTTTCTACCTGGGCGAATGGGTCACCCCACAAGGCAAACCATGCTGAAATACAACCCTTCGTGCTCCAGGAGACTCAGAGTGCTTTCTCAGAGAAGTTTCATCTTAGCAAAACATGGTCCTATACAGTGTCTTGGCTCATGGGCAGCCTCTGTGTCCCCTGTTGACTGGGCAGGTGAGGGCTGCCCAGCTCAGCAGGCACCCCTCTGACAGATGAGAGCTCTTACACCTTCGCCACATGTCTCAAGATCCAGGGCCTGGTGGGCTATCAGAGCCTGCCTGCTGTGGCCGGGGCTGCCATTTCTCTCAGGTGGTGACACAGTCTTGTGAAACTCTGCTTTGAAGAGTCTTGGTCAGATCAGAAGAACGTGCAGCCTGATGTGACAGCCAAATTCAGGCTGCCTCAGTGATCCTGGTAGATCTTGGTGATCGTCATCTCAGTTGATCCTTCTAGCATTAGGAGGATGAGAGAGGGTGTTCCACGCAAGGGGATAGGGATTGAAGTGCAGCCTTCTTGGAAATGAGGATGCCTCCCAGTAAATGCTGAGGGAAGGGAGTTAAAGTATGGGGCCCACATGCTAGGAAATACGTGATGACAGATTCACAAAGGGGATTTGGGGGTGCATGAGTCACACACTAGTTGGCCACCCTTTCCCTTCTACCTTCCACCCCCAGGATCTTGCTTGCATTTCTGGGGTTCATTGTGTTAGCTGGGATCTCCTGGGAAGAAGGGGAGCAGGGGGTCCTTTTGTATCTCCTGTCAATCTGTGGGGGAGAGGCTGGGATGGTCCATCGGGACAGTCCCGATAACACTGTTCTTTCTGTGAGTTCTGATGGAGGTCAACATTTAAAGGAATCTACTGGGTCTCAGTCACTTTTTGAGGAAACTGATCTCCCTAAATGCCCTTTAGACACCGTCTCTGTGTAACCACCCTGCTATGCTCACTGCTGTGATATCGGAGCACATCGCACACCCCAGACTTAGAAACCCCTGCCTGGGGGTGGGGGCAGGGCTGGCAGCCTGCGGCATGGGTCAGGATGGGGTGCACCAGCCGGGCAGAGGGGGAAGCTCCCCCAGAACGACTGTGAGCACAGGCTGCAAACAGACAAAAAGGCTGCGAAGCGTTCCCATTGTGCAGCCTCCTGTCTGCAGAGCTGGGAGGGGCTGTTCCAATTCGAAAAAAAAAAAAAAGCCCCAAGCCGTGGCTCTGTCCGTCTGTGCCTCCATCTTCTCAGGGCTCTGAGGTTTCCTTCATTTGTGAGCTGAGCTTGCCTCTGCCCTGATCCTCCCTTCAGCTGGGCGAATGGGAATGTGTGTGCTCCGTCTTCACATCCCTCCCTCGTGGGAGAAGTCTACTGGACACTTCCTTTCCTGTTCCAAGAATGGCCCTAATCCCTGTCCTAAGGAAGTCCTGAATTAGCCTGTGTCCCTGGCAGCTCAGCTGGTACCTGCCACTATTCAAAGCCTATAAATAAGTTACTTTAGGGGAGGAACATACTGATCCATTCTAAGTGCCCTGAAACACTGCTGGGCCTCGGAGCTGCGTGGGGGATGGACGTTGGGAAGGGCAAACCTGCTTCATGTGCCCCCACGCAAGGACCTGCCTACAGGCAGGCAGCATTGGTGGGTGCATGGCTCTTGCTGGGACACAGCATGTGCCCTAATCCTCAGTATTTTCTGGTTCTTTTTAGGAGCCGGGTCCTGCCAAGATGGCCGTGACCAGCAGCAACATCCCCAGTGCTGAGAAGGTCCCTGCCACCAAGTCCACACTGTGGCAGGAGGAGATGAGGGGCAAAGACCAAGCGGATGGGAGCAGTAGCCTCAGCCCAGTCCAGAGCCCTGTGCAGAACCAGGCCGCGCCTGCCGGCTCCCTGAAGGAACCTGTGCTGGAAAGCAAAGAAGGTGAGGCTGAGAGGCATGGGTGCCAGTGCTGTTCTGGCTGTGTTTCTGCCTGGCTTTGGGGGTGCTTTCCACTTCACCCCAAAGCTGTGTTGTCTCGTGACTAGAGCAGGGGCCTAAAAAAATGGCCCCTGTCCCTTCTATTCACTCATGTTCAGAAATGCTGCAATTTTTAGCAATATTTAGTTCTCCTGAGCCCCAGTTCTGCTCCCTGGGCGGTCTCCAGTGCTTGCGTTGGTCTGCTCAAAGGTTCCTGTGCCTCACCTTACTCTTCCCAGAGATGGATCCCTCGCTGGGCTGCTGTGGAGCTCAGCACTTGCGAACAGCTTAGCTGTCCTCTGAGGGAAGGTGCTTTCAGTACGATTGTTATTAATAGCACAGGCACCCCAAGGACCTTATTTATTCACATACCGCATTTGCTTTTTTCCTCAAAAATCAGCATGTGAAAACTGGGGCACATCTTGCATGAGGAAGGTTTAACCCTATTTGGTTAAAAAGGAAAGTTTTTTTTTTTCCCCTTTATCCTACCTTCCTGAAACAAGGTGCTTGCGTGTTATAAGTACGGTATTTCTGCCACTGGAAGGTTTCTTTACACCGGTTCTCTTTTATTATCAATTTATTAATTGCCTTTCCTGACCAATGGTGGCTGAATTGGACCTTGCTCCATTGCTCGCCTTGAATTTTCACCTTCTCCAAAGCAATGCATGCAAATAGCAATGGTTTCTTGGGGTCTTAAATTTTTTTTAATGATTTTTTTAAAAAAAATGAGCCATCCCCCTGCTGAGTCGGATACCTGACTACCTGCTCACGCCTGAGAACTTGGGACTGAAAAGGAGAAGCAGGAAAGGATCTGCCTTGGTGTTGAGAGAGGCCCAGGTTGAGATGAGTGTTCAGGGCAGCAAGAAGGGACCTGAGTGAACCACAGAAAACCCCTTTGTCCACAGTTGTGAAATGGGCACAGGTTCCCTTCTCTGGGGACATTTTTAAACCTCTGTGGTGTGAATGGCACAACCTCATGCCAACTGATGGTGATGTGGGAGAGGCAATGCTCTCCCAGCTGGCATGGAGAGGGTTGGCCTGGAAACAACGGGATGAAATGATGGGAAGGGAAAACCCTGGATAAGGTACTGGAAACTGTTGTAGGCAAGAGCCTTGCTCTGGCAGGGAGATGGACAGGATGACCTCACTAGGCCTTTTCCTTCCTTCAGAATTGGATCAGGGAGAGAAGGAGAATTTTTTCCTCTTTGTAATTCAAAGCATTGCCAGCCTCCTCCCAGCTGGCCCCTGGAGGGTACCACTAGGCGCAGGCCTGCCCTGGAGCTCTGCTTCCTTATCCTGTCCCTGTAACAGGGCAGCTGTTTACATTTTGTCTCCTCCGACTAGTGCATGGAAGGCGCCCGCATCTGCTGCATTATTCAAAATGAAACAATAGGGGCCAGGGCTTTCTTCCTGCTCTGCGTTTGTGTTCCCCTTGGACAAGTCATGGGGGAGGGCTGAAAAGCCGAGTCTGTTTCCTTTGTCTCCATGATCTAAGTGGTGATCTAAAAGGATTGCTTTCCTTCTCTCTCCCTTGGGATTAGCTAATGGAATAGGACTGCTCCCTTTGCACCCTCGCTCTGAATTAGCAGGAGCTTTGTTTCAGATGAATCAATTGGGTTTTGGCTTGGCTGTTTTAGGATGTGGCCACAGGATTGAAGTGGGTGTAGGCGTCTGCGTGCGTTTGTGAGGCAGCTTGCCTGATGGTGCATTGTGTTGGGTTTCCTTGCTCTCAGCCTCCTCAATTTTTTTTCCGCAAAGCAAATGTATGTATGTATGTATGTATGTATGTATGTATAAAATAACAGTAGTAGTATGGGAATGAAAAATGTGTCTTAAACACTGCTCCCACTCTGCACCTGCGTGCACATGTGCACGCATGACATGCTGAGTTGTGCTTGCTGGTGCTTGAGATTGAAGATAAAACAATGAAGCATCCAGCTGATGAATTTCAGCTCTGGATGGGAAGGTCACGGCTGAGTGGAGAGCACTTGCATTGTCCACCTGCATTTAACCATTCCCTCCCCATCCTCCCCATGGCAGGTCTCTGCTTGGAATAAAATCCAGTTTTTCTGTGCCCTAAACTTCCACTGGAGAATCTCTTCCAGGTCACTCATTTAGGGAGCTAGACCCTGGTCATGTTCAGGGATTCAGGAAACTAGAGTTCCCACCTCCCTGAAATCACTCCCACGTGTGCAGGGTGTGGTGCCAGTGCAAATGCAAAATGGGCATCGCTCCATGTGACTTGGTTGGCCAAAGCAGCAGGGAAATGTCAATCTGAAGGGTTCCCTGTCCCTAACCCCCTTGGCTGTGCTGGCGTGTTGGTTGGAGGTCACCTTCAGGCTCCAGTAAAATCATGCAGACACAAGTTGTCCACCACACTTAAGGGGAGGGGACCTGCGCTGGAATTACAGCAGGGCCATGATCCCCGCCCCAACCTTCCAGTGTTCCTGAGAGGGAGCTAGTAGTGGGTCCCAGCTTCCTCTAGCTGTTAATGCACCTTCCGATCTCCTGACCCCCTCACTTTCCTGGAATAAGACCCTGTGAAAATGGATTGCACTTGAGATTAGTGCATGCACTGCTGTGAGTTGGCTGGGCATTGGGTCTTCCTTCTAACACCCTCAGGCCCAGCCTGACTCTTGCATGTCTTCAACAAACCCCCTCCCATCTTCTGTTGGTGTGTCCTTCCTGCACAGGCTGGAGCATGGTGCTGTGGACACCAGGGAACAAGAGAAGACTCTCTGGGTCCTGAGCTGCTCCTGAGCAGATCCTGGGTGTTAGTTGGGCTGTGGTAGCATCGTGCTGTTTTTTCCTGCCCATTGGGGAAGTTTCTCAGGCTGTCCCTCCCTACTTGAGTCTTGATGTCTGTTGCAGTTTCGTGGCGTCCCGAGCAGCAAGGCTCTTCAAGGCCTGAGCAGTGATGTGCTGGAGTGTGGTGGATCTTGGGCCACCTCCTATCAGATCTCACCTTCATAGAAAAACCTCTGGCATGGGCTGGGACGAGCCGAGGCTTGCAGAAACCCAGCTCCCAGCTTCTCTCCAGTCACGTGGGGTCTCTAGCTGGTATCATGCCTGGTTTCCTGTGCTGTTAGTCCCTGTCCTGTCCCACTCTGTGCAACCAAGGCAGGTTCTATATTATAACTGCCTTTTACACAAATAAAGAGGAGCAGAAATGGGGTTTGGACCACATGGAGTGACCTCCTCTCCATCCCCTTCTCTGCTTCCTCAGACGAGAGCTCCATGAATGGCGACCGACTGGACTGTGGCCGGAAGGCGCGCGTAGAGAGTGGTTACTTCTCCTTGGAGAAGACTAAGCAAGACTCAAAGTTGGAAGAACAGCAGCTGCTGCCTCCGCCATCCCCTCCCAGCCCCAGCACCCCAAACAACAGGTACAGTTATCCCAAATCGCCCTCCCAGGAGCACGCCCGCCCCTTTCCTTCCCCAGGTACCCGATTGGGCAGCCGAATGGTTAACAGCTACTCCCTGAACTCCCTGGACTTGAAGAGCACTTGCTTCACGCACAAGGACGTCAGCAGCCGAGACGGGGGACAGGGAGCAGACAAGTCGGGGCGCTCCCTTTCTTTTAAAGCCAGCCGGCAGTACGCCACCCTGGCCGACGTCCCCAAGGCCATTCGGATCAGTAACCGTGAGGCCTTCCAGGTGGAGAGAAAACGGCTGGAACGGAGGACTCGGGCCCGCAGCCCCGGCAGGGAGGAGGTGGCCCGGCTCTTTGGCAATGAGCGGAGGTAAGGCACCAGGCACTGACCTGCTTTTAACTTTTGCTTGTCCAGGATCCAGTTGGCCATGGTCCGTGAGTGACTGCTGGGACTGATGTCAGTGTTGTTTCCCCATGGGCAACAAGGCCAAAACCTGCATAGGTGTGGCCTGGAGCCCTGGTCCATCGCTGCAGGCAGCCTGCGAGTGTGAATGGGAATCCAGAGAAGAGCCCTGCCACCCTGGGTAGCAGGGTAAGGTTGCCTGGGCCTCACAGCTCTCCCGGGTTACCCAACCTCAGTCAGAGGCTTTATTGAGGGAACTCCCAGCTGCTTGAAGCAGGGACTCAGAGTTGTGGGGCCAGGGCAGAGGCACCTGTTAAATTTGTAGCCAAGTCATTTTTCTGGGCCTGCCACTTCTTTCCAGTTTCCTGTTGCTCTGTGCTTTCCTGCAGGGGAGGTTGCTCCTACTGCATCTGGGACGTGGGCTGGGGCAGGGGGTTGTTGGGACACTGGTCTGTGCCAGCCAGTTAATGGATTCCCCATTGGTGCCAACACAGAAGTGTTCGCACCTGACAGACCCCAGGTCTGGGCAATCTGTCCTGGGGGTGGGGATTGCTGCAGACCAGGGGGATAAACAAGCTGCCACAGGATGTTGTATAGTCGTATTGGCAGTGCCGCCTCGTGCCTCCGCCCTGGACCAGTGTGCGGTGGCAGCTGGCAGCATTAATTAGGCTATTTTGCTAAATGGTGTTGGGGGTTACGTGTGTTACACAACAGTCTAATGAGCTGAGAGGTTTCAAAATGTCACGTCATTAATCGTGGAGAGAGGAGCAAGCTGCAGAGGCAGCTGGGAGCGACTCACAGAACAGCACGGCGGGGGAGGCTTGCCCTGGGGGTGTGAGAGAGCGTGCTCATAGCATGCTCCCGTCTTTTCCTGGGGACAGGAGGATAACTGTAGCTGACCCTGGAAGAGCTCCGTTTGTGTGCTGAGGACCATAAAGTAAACCCCAGAAACCCAGGCACTGGGCTAAGTCAGTCCATTTAGCACCCCCTTACGTGCCCATGGGTGTGGGGGCTTCAACACCATGTCAGCCAGTGCTCACAGGTTGCTTTCCTTCACCCTGGGAGGACGCTTTTCCAGCCAGCTCTCCTGCCCCCTCCAACACAAGCACAGCCTGCAAAGCCCAGCTGCAGCTATTCCACGAGTGACTCGGCCTCATACTAGTGCTTATTCTGCTTGACTTAGCTCTGCAGGAACCACGTGTGCCTCTAACCTGTGCTCTGGAGGGCAGCGTAGCAGTTTGAGGCAAGGGAGTGGAGGGAGGAGGGACTTATGCAGCAGTTCCTTGGCCCCCTCCTCCGCCCTGAGCTTGCAGCCCTTCCCTGTGTTGGGTAAGAAGGATGCCATGTTCGTCTCTGGCCACCCCTTTCCTAACACTTTGGCTGGAGAAAGGGTTGTAATTCGTGCTTCATAAACTGCTCCTGTAACCTCTTGGCTGGAAGCTGGCCCGCTGAGGCTCAAAGGTGTCCTGGCAGCTAATCTCTTCTGAGCTAGAGGCTCATGTTTTCTTCTAGAGCTGAACCACTGGAGTGCCAGCCCCACATTGTGATTGCACAGCTGAAGACTAGCTTCCAGACTCTGCATATTGGTGTGTGTGGGGGGGAGTTTGCTTCTGAACAGGCTGCTTGGTGCTCTGGGTCCTCATGCCGGGGTGCACAGGTCGGTGTGGGGGGAGATGAATGGAGTAGGGGAACAGCTGGCTAGAAAGTGACTCCTGGTGAATGAGGCTGCGTGCAGATCACCGGTGCCAGGATGATGGAGGATTTCTGAGCTACTGCCAGACATTGTCCTTTTAATTCCCCACCCCCCCTTCCCACATGGCAGGTGCTTTCCCATTTCCCCTGGCCCCTTTGTTTCCCAGGCTCCCAAAGCTATCAGACCGCCACAGGAGATGGGATTTTATTGAATCTGCCTCGGTGAAAACTCCCCTCTGTTATGTCTAGCCAGCTTATTGCCTTTATCTACAGTGATTTGGCTCTGCCTAGGGAGTGGGGGCAGATGAATGCCTTCTGTGCTTGGCTGCTAATGGTCTCTTAAAAATATATATATGTATCCTTTAATAAACTCCCTGGGATCCCATCAGCATAGTGTGAGCACGGAGGGGGGCTTTGGGTTGATGTCTGAGGTTGCAGCAAAGAGGCTTGAATGGAAATGAGCCCTCTGCATTGTTGCTCCCTGTATTACAGGGGCTGCTACCTATCGTAGTTGCTTTGCCGTGAGCACAGGCAGTGAGCATTGTCCCTCGTTCACCAGGGTCTCTGACTGCCCTCCCCTCCAGCCTCTGTACAGCTCCATTTCCCTTTCCTTCCTGCAGTCAGGGCTGCAAAAGGGGTAGGAAGAAGGGAACAGTCAGAGCTGACTAGTATAAGTGCTGGAAACCGCCCCCCCCCATCTCCACTTCTTCTGAGATTTTAAATGGATGCTCCCTCCAGAGCTGAGCCCCAAACCTGTTGGCTCTAAACAGTTTCACAGGCCCCCCTGTGCTTTGCCAGGAGAATAGGTGGCACGTTCATTAAGGGTTGGGGTAGGCGAAGGATGTGGCGTGTAGAGTGCTCTTTTCCACCAGCATGTGTGAAACTGGGCATGTGCAAAACATGTTCAGTCTAAACAAAGTGCATTGGTGCTCAGAGGCAGGGACCACATCTTTAAAAAGGATCCTCCAAACTAGTGACTCAACAGGAGGGTAGCGCCACGTAATGTGGACCGTCATCTATCTGTGATGATGCCCCAGCACTGCAGGAGAGTGGGAGGCAGTCCTTTCCCCAAGCAAGACTCCAGGGTTAGTGACCCTCTCGGGTGCTTTTGCAGGCTGTGGGGAGGGAAGAGCCACTTGGTCATCTGGGTGAAGATCCTTCTGGCTGTGGGAGGGCATGTGGGGAGCAAGAGCATGGAAAGTGGTGGGGGTGGGAGGGTCTGGGTCTGTGAGGGTCTGAAGGGGTCTGGTACGGGGAAGAGGAGTTGAGCTTGGCCCTCTTTGTCGGACAGTGCAGTGGGTTATCAGCCAATGTGTGTGGGCTGCAGTGGTTGGGATTCACTCTTTTACCGCTGTACCTGTGAACTGGGCCAGGTGGGGAGGAGGTGGGTGGTGCAGTTGAAGTGCTTGCCGGGGGGACCTCCATGTTCTGAACACTTGGGTGGATTTGGGATTGCAAGAGGGCCGGTGCAGCACAGTGCCAGAGAATTAACATTTCCCACCTCTCGGCTTGGCTCGGCTTGGCTTGGCTTGGCTTCTCCCTTTAATTTGAGTAACTTAGTTTTACTTTTGATCTCTCCTTCCCCACTCCTCCTTCCAGTCAAATCCCTGCTGAGGGTTGAGCAGACCCATGCTTCTCTTCCAGGTCGCAGGGGCCAGTCTCTCCTCCGGGCTTCAGACCATTCCTTTTTTTTTTTTTTTTTTTAATGCTCTTTCCCG